ATTTTGCGGGACTTTGACTGGGAAACTGAGTTGGCCCCCCTGTTTGGGGGAGGAGAGGTAAGCCTTTGGAAGTAAAAGAAAAGGGAGGGAACAGACTCTGAGCTGTGAACTGAGAGCCGTACGGTTTGAACTGAACTGAGAACTTTGATAAATGGCACTCTGATAATACATCCCTACGGGGTGAAGGTAATAATAAACTTTGAGAAGAGAGGGGAAACAGAGCTGGTCTGGAGCTTGGCGATGAGAGGATTGGAAGTGGCCTACAAAATCTGGACAAGGATCAGTCTTGGATTGCAGAAACACTTGAGAGATTTATGTTTTAAATCCCATTTCTTGCCTGAGTTTGCCTGCTATTTTCTATTAATATTGTCATAGTTATAATGTAATGTATTGGAGTGGGAGTTGATTTATATATTGTGTGTGTTTGGGCAAGGGGGAGAGGGAGTTCCGAGTGAGGGATGGAATAATAGAAACTGAAAAGTGTTCTATATATATACAGATCAGATATCCTGGAGAAATGGAACCCCTCCCTGAGAAAACTGGAGATCAATGGTTAGAGTGGAAGGTTTCCTTTCAGATGACAATGTTGAAAGGATTCAAACAGATGAATCACCATCTTGATCTGATGCAAGATTCAATTAAAGATTTTAAGGAAGAGAAAATAGCAGAGGTTAAATCACAGTTAAAACAAATGCCAGAACCATGTGTATTGAAGATAATGCCAGACAATATAGAGGGGGTGATGTGTCACCAAGTGAGAGATGTGGCTATAACAGTTAGAAAAACAGGTTAAAAATCAAACTATTGCTTTAGGCGTTGTTCCTCCTTCCAAAATACGGAAGAAAACAGAGTCACAGAGACAAAAGAAACATATGGAGAAAAAGGGAGAAGAGAACAGAATCTATGCTATTTCAGGCCTGTTGAATGTATTTTTAAGACAAAAGGAGGGTGAAAGAGGAGATTTATTTCACAATTGGTCTTGGTGTTCTGATGCTGTTGGAATAACCTAGATTTAACCTATGTTATAATTGTAAGTTGAAAGCTAAGGGGGTAAATAAATAGACAATAGTTAAAAAGAAGAAGAAAAATAAGAAAGATGAGTTTTTATTGGAGTATGAATAGATTATATGCTTATATACTTAATATGAAAGGATTGAATGATTATATATTTGATGTTCTCTTATACTCAAACCCTTTTTCCACCCCTTCCATTGCCCTTTACCTTTTGTATTCCTTCCCTATTTGCAATAGTTTTGAAGGGTCCTTGAACATACTCTTAGACCCTCTGGAGGCTTCCCCCACCCTCACCACCGCTGGCCCAGTAGGACAAAATTCCCAATTATTTTTTTCCTGTTTTCTTCCCCTAAAAATTTGGTGCATCTTATGGAGTGAAAAATACTGCATTTGTTTTCCAAAATAATTTGGAAAAACAGAATTTGGAACATAGCTTTTATGAAAGATTGATTACTGGGGAAAAAATTAAAAGATACCAAATGCATAGTAATTTTTGAGTGTATGGTTTCCATTTACTGACTTTGCTAACTTATGAAAGATGTTATCCTTAGTCTCTATAGCTTGATTTTCACTTTTGACTGATCTCATAATACATCCCGTACCTTTTTTTCACAAACTGTTGTTACTCTACTCAACAATGTAGTGTTACTGTACCTTAATTAGGAATTGTCTGTGGTTCATGTTAATGTTTATTCCTATTAAATCTTATATTTTGTGTTGTAAGCCGCCTAGAG